AACTGCATTGAAGTTGAGCTCATTGCCGGGTAGAGGATCAAAAGTGACAATTGCCAAGTCTTCATTGGTTGCCGGCGGCCTCATCGGAGCCACCACCCTGCTCATTGTTGACGATCGATAATGTCAACTATAAATCATTAATATGATATACTTTTATCCTTTAAATCAATCACTAACATAGGTCTAGAGGTTTAAACTAACTATTTCCACAAGTTTTGGTGATTTCACAAGTGCAGGAGGATTTAATTAGAAAAAGGTTAAAGCGGGCCAACTTATGTCAAAGAATCAGATCCAATCGCCACGAAACCAACTCAAATGGGCCATAAACATCCACACCTGTCGAGGGGACGGAGCCCCCCTGACAAGTGGACCAGGGTGGGGTCGGTCGACCCCACCTGTAGGTTGGCCGACCCCCTGTGGTCTCATCTGTCAGCCCACATTTTCCCCACTGACTTAAGGGATGAATCTCTGCCATTAATTCAAGTTGGTTTGCAAGGAAGGACGAGATTAAGGCGTGACACGGATCGATGACGTGGTAATTTCTTGCCCCCTACTCAACCCCCCTATAAAAGGCCCCCCAAACCCTCCCCAGAGAGGCATCGGTAGAGAGAAAAGCTCCACAAACATAGATTCATAGCATAGTTTAGTTGAGTTAGATCAAAGTAGATTCGAGTTTCTGCTCGGATTCCGGATCTAGTCATCCAAAGGCTTGGTATAGCCCTTGTATCCTTCATATCTATCTACTTTATGACTTCAATCTTCATTTATATTATGTTCTTAGTTATCATGTTCTTAGTTATCATGTTCTTAGTTTACTTTGAGTATATGCTTAGTATAGTTGGAGTTATCATTATATCTATGCATAGGATCACAGAGCGCTCGATTAAGTGTTCAAACTGGTTGAGTAGCCAAACCTTGGGTAAGCATGGTGCTTATACATTGTTTTGCCTATGGATGCACCCTACATTCCGGGTGTGGTAGATCTATTTGGGTGACAGCCTTGTAGATCCTTTGTATTCCATACCCCGTTTGTAGGACTAGTAGGACTTGTGTCATCTATGGAGAAAGTATTACTATACTCCTCTTTAGAATGATGTCCCCTTTGCATTCGTATAGAGTTAATCTTTTCCTATTGCTAGTATATACAATGACTTGTATGCTTTGACTGGTGATTAAGACAACTTATTAATTTATCTCTAATTTAGTCTACTTAACTTACTTTTGCTATTTGGAGTCTCTCTGAGTGTTATGCTTATCATATTTATACATATATTTTGGTTCACCGTTGTCTAGATGTAAGTGTTTAGTTCATTGATTCATCATAAGGTTATCAATCTCTTTCTAAGCCATCATTCCTCCCAGTGGTAAAATATAAATAATGATACTTGGAATACTTCCGGTGAAGTGCTACAATGATATATCTGTGCTTAAAGAATTCTTATTTTCTTATTTGCACTATTAAATACCAATAAGCATTTCTAGCATCATTGTTGAGGCTACAATCCTAGTAGCGATGTTATGAAATGTCAACACTCATGAACTCCCTATCCGGGGCATCATCCTAGTTGAAGCCTTCTGGGATGAACGGCCTCAGGTCGACGCGTTGATACGCCATTGTTGATGTCGACGAGGTTCTTCTCCGATGGGCAGACGGGGAGTACTGTAGCTCAGGAGTGGGGTTTTCTGAAGGGTTAGTTTGGGGGAAGAAAGAAGACGAGAGGTCGAGTGAGAGACACAGCGGGTCCAGAGCCGTCTTAAGGGGCACAGTATTGGGCTTTAAGAGCCGGGTGTCATTAACCTCAGGCGCAGATCCCTTGGCGGCCCAAAACGGTGAGAGGGAGAACGCCCGAGCCATTTTCGCAAAGGATTTGAAGACTGGCGGGCTTGACGAGGATGGCCCGGCCGCCGCGGCATTGAACCAACCAAATGGAGAGCGATTGGCCGCCAAGCTTTTTGTGTTGCCGGTAACTTGTCCCGGTTTGAAAATTTTCCCAGAACGGCAATTGACTGCGGTATGACCCCAATTATGGCAAGCGTGGCACCTCATTGGCCTATGGCAGGCCACTCTATAATGGCCCTGGGATAAGCAACGGAGGCAGAAGGGTGTTGGGGCCCTGTCCCCAACAAAATCTTCAGAAGATTGGGCTACCGGGATGCCATGGACGCGCCTGCCGAGCGAAGGTTGAAGACGATGGAACACAGAATGCTGGCCAAGAATAGAGCGCTGCTTGGGCGGCCCCATAGGGATGCTGTTAGCTCCCGAAAGCGGAGGGGCAGGCGCTGATTTAACAACATCAGCAAATGACTTGCCCTGTCGATTAAAAACAGAGGTGCGAGCGGCATGAGCGGGGGCAGGAGAACGACTGGTACAGGCTTCCATGAGTGAGCCTCTTCATCTTGGTAGAGAGCAAGCTCGCGCCTCCAGTTTGGGCCACCATTGCCCCAAAGAAAGAACTCAAGGGAGAACAGCTCACACGAGAAGGAACGAAGATCAGAGATGTAAAACCCAACCCTCTTAGAGGAAACGAAAAACTTGAAAGTGCGCTCAGAAAGCAGGGAGACATGGAAATGCTGAGCCATACCACCAATGGTGGCTTGAAGAATGGAGCTCACAGCATTGAGGTCAAGACGAAACCTACATCTTCCAAAAGCAACAACCAGCGCAAAGGAGGAAGGACCAAGAACAGAGGAGGAGATCGGGAGGCCCAAAAGATGTTCAACATCATTCTGGACCGAGAGTCCTGGGGCAAAGGAAAGCTCCTGAAGAGCCATGAGCACAAGAACACAAGGAGGCAGAATCAGGGTACATCTGCAGGGGGGGGGGGACTTACTTGGATGGCAAACTCAAGCGTTGCACATTGCTATGTGCATATCGAAGTCGTGAACCTGGTCATCCGGCGGGCCACCATGGAGAATCCATGGCGAGGCCAGGTCATTGAGGAGGGTGGCCATGAACGGATGGTGGAAGCGGCCAGCCAGGAGGCCGAGGCCTCGACGGCCGACGAGAGAATCCCGCTGGGAGAGCTCAGCACTTTGCGTCATGAGTCCTGGTTTTGCCTTAGGGATGATAGTAGTATGTATGAAATTCCTAAGAGAGAGCTCAACCTCGCCACCGCCCTACTCAAAATTGATGCTCTAGTGTGACTTGTCAAAGCTTCAATTTGGACAATGATCTAGAGTTTCTCCAATTTCATATTCTAATTTGATGCTTGTTTTGAAACTATGACGATATGTGATATGAGCAAATGCTTTTTCTGCCTAATCTACGCTAAGCTCTTGGGGTATTAGCGTTAGTTTGACAAGGCTGTCTACGACGACGCTAGAATCGTCGAGGACTCTGAGCACCTCGCGACAATGTGCAGGCGTGCAGCCTCGCGACCGGCTGACATGAGGAACTCAATTGCTTCAAAGGGCTAGAAGCTACCTAAACAACATTTTCCAGGGACAAAAAAACATCGTTTCAGCATTCTCTTGTGCATAAGAAATTATAAAAGGGCATGTTTGAGTAGCTTCTGGCGGGGAGGCCGAACCAAATAATTTTTTTTAAGAGGAGCCCTTTCATGCTCCTCCTCAAGGCCTAATTTGAAAATTCCAATCCCTCCGAAATCCCAGACTTTTCCCTAGATGGGTAATCTATGGGGATATCATTTTAATTATTATCTTAGCTCTTAGCGGGGGGTTTCCATCCCTAAGTTTTGCTCCCCTTACTTCCAAAGTAGGTCTAAATGTACTGGCTTCTTCGGAAGAGCACTTCAGGAGGAGTTGTGCCTGTACCAAATAGACCCTAACTAATTAAATGGGACTTTAAAAGTAGTATATCACGCCAAATCGGGCCCCTAGGGCTCACCTAGCAATCACAACTAAATCGTCGACTTTGAAACCAAATTAACGGCATATTTAGATCATTAGATGAGTAACTTAAGAAATAGTCTTCGACCATAGAAAAATGTACATACTAATATACAGACTATTTTTTAATTCATACCTTTAGTAGTTTATTATGGACAAACCCATCTAATGAGAGTAAGGTGAAAAGGTCCGTGTGAGTGGGAGTTGAGTTTCATCTGCATTTAATAGTCCACCACATACGGTTGGTATTTTTTATGACATTGTAACATTTTTAATAGGAGAGAAGAAATTAGTTTCGTCCTTGGCACGATTAACAACTTTATACGAGTCATGAAATTAACGTGTATGAAACACTAGAACTAGAATTAAAAGAATGTATGTTTTATTCAAATTTCATTTCATTTTATACGATGTGACAATGTTAAAAACAACCCCACAAAACTCTTCGCTAAGAATAACTTAATAGATGTCTATGGGACTTTGAGTTAGAATTCAATTTTATTACAAATTTCGTTAAAAAAATTAAGCTTACAAAGTCCCATGCATCAAACGTACCCTAATAAATACTAATCATGCCCAAATAATAGATGATAATAATAATAATAATAATAATAATAATAATAATAATAATAATAATAATAATAATAATAATAATAATAATAATAAAAACATCTCGTGCTAATAAATCGCGAAACAAAAAACACGTCTCCAAACTCGGGAACACGTCAACCGGCGCCTGGGGTTTCGCTTCCCGAACCTTCCGACCGCCGCCGACAGCCCGACACCATGGGCTCCGGCGATGATAACGACCGCGACCTGGACCGGGACCGGGACCACGATCGCTCCTCCTCCCGCCACCACCGAGACAGGCACCACGAGCGCTCCTCCTTCCGCTACCGTCGCGACGACAGGGACTTCGATCGGGACCGGGGCCGGGATCGCCGCCACAGTGGGGAGAAGGACCGGGACCGCGAGGAGAGGGAGCGGGCGATGTGGCGCGAGAAGAGGAGAGATAGGGAGAGGCCGAAGCGGCGGAATGCGGACGAGGACGGCGGCCGCGACCGCAAGCGCTGCCGCGTGTCCTCGCACCACCACCGCCGGGGACGCGGACCCGGAGGCGGCGCCCGCTACCAAGGACCAGGAGGGGGGGCATGGGGGCCGAGCAGCAGCGGCTCGACGACGAGATGGAGCGCCGCCGCATCCGCGTCAAGGACTGGCAGGTGAAGCTCCGCGAGCTGCAGGGTGCCACCGGGCCCGAGGTCGAGGCGGGCGGCGGTGCCGGGGCGGGGAAGAAATGGACCTTGGAGGGCGACGAGTCTGACGAGGAAGAGGATGGCACGGATTTGGGCGGAAGCAGTGTCATGGATGTTGATTGCAACAATGGGGGTAATGGTACCAGTGGCCCTACTGATGTAGAGGAGGAAGAGATTGACCCACTTGACGCATTCATGAACACCATGGTGCTACCGGAGGTCTCACGGCTGGAGAGCAATGCAGCATCAGTTGACGGTGTACCAGCTTCCAATGCGGTTTCTAAGAAAGGGTTGAAGAAGGCGACGGGGAGAATCATGCAAGGGGATGGCTCAGACTCGGATTATGACGATGATGGTGATGGTGGTGCTGGATTGGAGGATGAGGACTATGAGGAGTTCATGAAGCGTGTCAAGAAGACAAAGGTGGAGAAGCTGGCTGTTGTGGACCATTCCAAGATTGACTACCAGCCGTTCCGGAAGAATTTCTACATCGAAGCGAAGGACATCAGGGAGATGACATCCGAGGAGTTGGAGCGGAAGGTGCACGGGAAAGATGTGCCCAAGCCAATTAAGACATGGTTACAGAGTGGGCAGACTAGCAAGCTCCTTGACACCATCAAGAAGCTTGGTTTCGAGAAGCCCATGCCTATACAAGCGCAAGCGTTGCCGGTCATCATGAGTGGCCGTGATTGTATTGGTGTTGCAAAAACTGGATCTGGCAAAACGCTTGCATTTCTCCTTCCGATGCTGAGGCATGTCAAAGACCAGCCACCTGTTGCTCCTGGAGATGGTCCTGTTGGGCTCATTGTGGCTCCTACAAGGGAGCTTGTGGTGCAGATACACTCGGACATTAAGAAGTTCTCTAAGGTGCTTGGCATTAGTTGTGTTGCTATCTATGGAGGCTCAGGGGTTGCCCAGCAGATCAGTGAACTGAAACGAGGTGCTGAAATTGTCGTTTGCACAACAGGAAGGATGATCGATATCCTCTGCACTAGCAACGGGAAAATCACTAACCTTCGGAGAGTGACATTCTTGGTGATGGATGAAGCTGATAGGATGTTCGACATGGGTTTTGAGCCTCAGATCACTAGGATAATTCAAAACACCCGGCGAGATAGACAGACAGTGCTTTTCTCAGCCACTTTTCCACGGCAGGTAGAGATGCTGGCGCGCAAGGTGCTGATCAAGCCCGTTGAGATTCAGGTGGGTGGGAGGAGTGTCGTGAACAAAGACATCACACAAGTAGTCGAGGTGCGACCAGAAAGCGAGAGGTTCTTGAGGCTGTTAGAGTTGCTTGGGAAGTGGTGTGATAAGGGGAAAATTCTTGTGTTTGTCCACACTCAAGATAAATGTGATTTTATATGCTTAAAAACTTGTTCCAGCATGGATATCAGTGCCTGTCTCTACATGGTGGTAAGGATCAAGCTGATCGTGAATCAACTGTTGCTGATTTCAAGAGCAATATCTGCGGCTTGCTGATTGCTACTAGCGTTGCTGCTAGGGGTTTAGATGTGAAAGAACTTGAATTGGTTGTCAATTATGATGTCCCCATCGTGTTGGGCGAACAGGCCGTGCTGGTAGAAAGGGCTCTGCTGTGACTTTTATTTCCGAGGAAGAGGAGCGGTATGCGCCAGACCTTGTGAAGGCGCTGGAACTCTCTGAACAGACTGTTCCAGAGGACCTGAAAGCCTTAGCTGATCGGTTTATGGCAAAGGTGAAGCAGGGAACAGAGCGGACCCATGGTACTGGTTATGGTGGAAGCGGTTTCAACTTTCAAGTTCAACGAGGAAGAGGATGAAGCGCAAAAGTCTACAAAGAAGGCTCAGGCAAGGGAATATGGATATGAGGAGGAGAAGTCAGATTCAGATTTTGATGAGGAAGAGGTACATAAGGCAGGAGATGAACTGGACGGATACAGCGCCATGCAGTTCCTGACCACTACGAGGCTGAGCTTGGGATTAATGATTTCCCACAGTATGCTCGCTGGAGGATCTCTCACAAAGACACATTGGGTCCTATTCAGGAAGGTGGTGTTGCTATCACTATAAGGGGAACATATATTGCTCAAGGAAAAGTTGCTGGTGCCAATGAGCGCAAACTGTACCTGTTTATCGAGGGCCACTCAGAGTCTTGTGTGAAGAAGGCAAAAGCGGAGTTGAAGCGTGTCCTTGAGGATTGTGTCAACCAGGTTCCCAATCTACCCAAATCTGCTCCAACTAAAAAATACTCAGTTATTTGAAGCAGGTATGGATGATATCGTTTACATATTCATAGGTTAAATTTAGCTGCTGGTGTATGGGCACAAGAGGCAAAACGGTGCCTGTCATTTCATTTTGTTACTGTTAGCTGTGCTCACCGCACATCTTACCCAATCGATGTATTCTGATTCCTCTATCTTATATTTTGACTGTCACATCATTAGTTCTACGATATTTTGCCCTTTGTATGTTATTCACTGACCATTCTATGTTATTTTGTGTTGCAGCTTACAATGGTTTCCATGCCACTATGGTGTCGTTGGCCTGCTACTTCCAGTATTCAGATTGTCCACGGCTGTGGCGCTGTGCAACTCTTTTTCGTACATAGTCATTATAAGGCAGCTAATGTTTACTTAGTGTCACATGGTTATTAGGGAAACTGTGTAGTTACGTTGAATTGGGATGTTTCTACAATTTCTATTGACAAGTTCTGGTTGCCTTTGGACAGAAGTCTTATAAACTCATACTGGTGGTTGCTGGCCTGTTATTGCCGAGGAAAGACATGGTTTTCTTTTTTTTTTTGAAACGAACCGGCAGGAGAGCTGCCCGCTATATTAAAAAGAAGGAACGTCCAGACGGACACTGTACAACTCAGTCAACTGGACTCTGTACACAACTAGAAAAACAAAAAACACAATAAACACAATTGAAAACTAGGAGAGAAGTTGAAGGAAAGTAGAAAGGTGCTTTGCTCCCGCCAAGATCCACAGTCTCGCCTCGTCTTTGATTTTCTCAAGAACCATAACATTGGTGGACTCAGGCGCTCAAAAAACTCTCGAATTCCTCTCCTTCCAAACTTCCCAAAGAAACTAGTATAATGAGCTTAACGTAGGCCTTTCCTCCTCGTACTCGGCGCATTTGACATCGCCGTCCACCGGTTCTCAAGTGTCTCGCTATGTGGCCATGCACTCGGGTGTAGGTTGGAGTTTTGTGTCCAGTGGCAATTTCTTCCGAGGCACTTCGTGAATCTGCAGTCCACGAAAAGATGCAGGCTGTCTCGCATGAAGCCCGGCATAGTGTGCAGGTTCCTTGGTTTGGCCACCTCCGAGCTTCCAATCTATCAGCCGTCCAAACTCGGTTTTGAATCGCAAACCAATCAAGAATTTGCATTTAGGTGGTGCCCAAGGTTTCCAAATGAGTGCCTCAAAGTTGTTTTTGGTTGCACCAATAAACTGGGCATGGTAAGCGAGAGGATGTTGTGTATTCACCATTTTCCTCAAATTTCCGTGAAAGGTTATCTGGCGTGCCCATTCTTAGAATTATGCGCCTAGTTGCTTGCCATAGATGTGTGTATTCAGCTAAGTCTTTGGCGAGAAATTATGATGTTTGAAGGTTGATGTCGGGAATCCAATTATTATCAAGGAGTGCCTGCATTGCGAGTTCTATTTTTCCTTCTCGAGATGGCAAATAGGTGCGGCGCTACGTCGCATGGTCACGACCGTCTAGCCATGCACTCGACCGAAACAATGCTCTTTTTCCGCTCCCTATTGTTAAAGTTGTGGATGCCGCAAAAAGGAGCTGATCGGTCGTGTTACATGGGGTTTCATCCCCAAGACTACCATCGAACTTGCCGACCATTGTCGCCATGGCCATCTCAACCTTAATGCCCTTGCAAACTTCCCTAGATGGAGGATGCCCAAGCCTCCAGAATATTTTGGTCTAGTGACCTCGGCCAATTGACCTTACATTTTCCTCCTGTTAGCGTCTCGGCGCTTTGCCCATAGGAACCTCTTCCTCTCGCCGATCGATGTCCTTGATTGTCGCTTTTGGTGCACGGAGGATGTGAGGAAGTAGACTACTTGCAAGTAAGGACCGCTTTAACCGTAGTCGAGTGACTCTTTGGGTTAATTTGGCGCCCATTCCAAGCAAAGAGCTTGTTGATTGCTTTGTCTACCGTGAGGTCGAAGTCCACACGCCTTAGGCGCTGATGCGTTAACGGTAGGCCTAGGTATTTGGTTGGGAAGCATGAAATTTCCGTTGGAGAGCCAAAGCAAGGATTTTATTTAGATTTAATCCTTCACACCGTCAGGGGATGATTGTGGATTTCGAAAGTTGGTTTTCAGTCCTGAAGCCTCGCCAAACAAGGTTAGGAGCTCAAACATAGCTAAGATGTCTTCCCTTGTTGGCTTGACAAAAAAAAATGGCCGTGTCGTCAAACATACATTGAAGCTCTAATTTTAGTTGTTCTTCCCTCAGCTGGACAAATGTCCTTTCTCGGTTGCTAGATCAAGTAGTTTTTGCAATGGATCCATTGCTATGACAAACAATAGAGGTGACAATGGATCGCCTTTGACGAAGCCCTCTCGCCATGTTTGATAGGCGCGTTCGATTCCATTCAATAGAAACCTCGTCGAAGAGGTGAAGAGAAGTGCAATGATCCGATCTTGCCATCAACTAGGAAATCCAAGCTTATTCAACAGAGTGAGGAGATATTCCCATCCGATCCGAATCAAACGCTTTGGCGATGTCGAGCTTGAGGAATATTGTTGGCAGCTTAGAATTGTGGTAGCGTCTTATTGCATTGCGGACGGCCATGTAGTTGTCATGGATGCTTCGTCTTTTGATGAAAGCACTTTGCGTTGGGGAGACAATGGAACTCATATGGGGCGCTAGCCGTAATGCAAGTACCTTGGCGATTATTTTGGCAAAGGAATGAATCAGGCTGATAGGTCGGAAGTCTGTAATAGCTTCAGCACCATCCTTTTTGGGAATCAAAACCACGTTATCGAGTTGAGGAGTGCAAGACTGTTTGTCCGTAGTGAATGGAAGGCATTCGCCGCATTGACGATATCAACCTTGACGATGTCCCAGCATGATCTGAAGAAGGCGCCAGTGTATCCATCTGGCCCCGGTGCTTTGTCAAACGGCATTTGGTGGATAGCATGTTTTATCTCCTCTTCAGTGAATGTTGCGTCTAGTCCACTAAGATCATGGGATGGCAGGTTCAAATCATCCCGATTGATGTTGTCTTTGCCGTCTTTGGAGGGTGTCCCATGAATTTTGAGAAATGGTCCTGTATTACAGAAGCTTTGTCATCATGGTTTATTGCCCAGCCATGGCCGTGTCGCAATCTTTGGATGTGGTTTTTCCTTCTCCTCGCATTTACTTTATGGTGAAAATATTTTGTGTTAGCATCGCCCAGCTTGATTGACGATAGTCTCGATGCTTGTTTACATCTAGCTCTTTCGATCACTGCTAGCCCCAAAATTCTTTTCTTGAGCTTAGCCCGTAGAAGCATTTCGGCGGTGAGACTTCTATTTTCTTGGGCGATATCGAGCCTTAGGATGATCTCTTGCGCCATGAAGAAAAGTTTTTTAGGCGTCGAGTTGATTTCCTTGCTCCATGTTTTCGCCATGCAAGTAGAATGCGCTTTGTACACAGGACATGAAACGCGCTCATGGTGGTCCGTTGTAGTATCCCATGCAGTCCTGACTACATCTTTAAATCCTGGGAGTTTGACCCAATAATTTTCAAACTTGAACGAACTTGGCCTTCTAGGTCCCGATTGGTTGGATAGCAGCAGAGGGCAATGGTCGGAGAGCGATGTTGAAAACGCATTCAGGATGTGGTTGCTGAAGGTAGCGTCCCATTCTGCGTTACAGAAAAAGCGGTCGAGTCTTGACATTGTGGGTCGTTGCCTCTCATTGCTCCAAGTGAATTTCCTGTTCTGAAGGCTAATTTCAGATAGATCACACTCATCTAGCGCCTCACGGAAGTGGCGCATTAGGCGTGGCTTAGGTTCATGTTGTTTTTGTCAGCAGCTCTATAGATGAGGTTGAAATCGCCCGTGATGAGCCACCGCATGCTTGGCGCTGGCTTTAGCGCTTTTAATTCATCAAGAAAGCGTAGCTTGTCCGCACTACAATGCGATGGTCCGTACACCACTGTAAGTAGGAAGCTGGCGTCCGAGTTTTTTAGCTGAACTTTCGCCGAGACGTGGAATTCTCCGATGGTGATGTCAGTGCAGCTTACACGACATTCGTTCCATAGTATGATGATGCCCCCACGCGTTTGAGAAGGCCCTGATGCCGGCTTGTAAGCAAACTGACTCAGGCGATGGCCACCAAGGTACGAAGCATCATATTGACAGATTTGGGATAGCTTGGTTTCTTGTAGGCATGCAATGCTGCATGACGTCGCTGCTATTAATTGGTGGACGGTGTCTCTTCGAGCTTGCTGATTTAGGCCTCGAACATTCCAGGGACAAGAGATCAATCTTGTGTGCACTCATGGAGAGGTGGCGAAATCCTCAAATTGGTGCATGATGGCGCTGCAGGAACATTCGTAGGATTGGAGAAAGATCGCCAAGACCGATCTACATCTCCGTGCATTCAGAGCAATAAAACAACTCGGGCGCATCACCCGTGGTTGAGAAGCAAAGTTGAAGCATACTAAAAATAGTCTTGGCGTACACAAATCATGGTGGCCCGACAAGTCTGCAATCGTGCCCTACAAAGCGAGAAACGACGACGGTGGAATGTGCGGCATCTTGGTACAAATTCTCGATACAATGTAGCTTGATACATATTAAGCGTTAGGGCGCAAGTTGTGCATCTCTGCAATGACCGTCAGCCATTGCTGCGGTCGGGATGGGCGTGTCGCGGAGTTCTTCGACTCCCTCGCCCACCATGCGGCGGCAGCGCATCATCAACTTCATTTGGCTCTTGATTGCCCAGGTTGAACATCTCCGTCGGCGGGCAATGATGTCCGTCGGCAGCGGGCCATTGAACATGGCGATGTAGTCCTGCAGCGCGTTTCCACAGTTCAAGATCATCATCACGGAGACCAAGTTTTCGGCAAAGGTTTCTCTGAAACACGCCGCATCCGGGACATGGGGCGAGCATTGGCCAGCGAGCACTTCGTCGTCTGCGCAGACATGTCGAAGGCACGCCAAGGCGTCTGCGGCGCCCTAACCCCGCCAGAGCCGGTGTTGGCGTAATGCTTGACGCGTCTTTGTGGTTGTTGGAGCGATGGCGCCATCGGCTTCTTTCAAGAGTGTCGCTACACCATCGTCACCACGAATTGTGGGGCTCTCCACTGCAGCGAGCTCGATGCGGGCCAATGCTTCCTCGACCGCAAAATGGGAGTTGTCTTCCACTTCTTCCACTCTTTGCATTCGGTGGGAGCGTGTTGAGGATCTTGATCGAAGATGTCACGCACTGGGACCGTGGCGTGAAGAGCTCGGCCTGTTGGAGCTGGTTGGGGGGGCGCTTGGACCGAGCTTCATTCCCTGCCTCGTGCAGGTCCAGCCTAGCACTTACAGGGGCCTTGAAGCGCCCCAAGCCCCTCGGCTAGCGCCAAGCTTTGTCGATGTAGTCTTGCATGAGAGACTTCAGCGAGGAGGCCATCTCTACGGTGTGCTAGACGCCCGCCC